AATGTACTAGCACCAGGCTATAGGACACGACTTTCCAGCTGACTTTCTTTGCACACTGTTCTTGTGTCCGACAGCTTTCGAAAACTGAAATTCTTGCAAGCTTAAATACGGTTCATCCATTTTTTGTTTATTTATTTATTTATTTACTCAATTCAATTACACAGATATTCAAAATAATAAAATTAAAATCGAAGAAAACCAAATAAAAAAAAGTGATATCTAAATAATTATGACAGGTTTATACAGAACACGAGGACTACACAAAGCACTTCGCCTCAGAAAGTTAGGAAACAGTTAACCAATTGTCACTTATTATATTTCGTTTCGGAGGAGGTCTACTGCTGTTCTTATTTTAGTAATTGTTTGGCAGAGACAAGACATCACGTAACCGCCAGAACAGTCGAGGCGGTTCGTGCGATACCTCACGTCCATCTAGTCCGCTGACTTTGGTATTGTGTTAAAAGTACAGTCACTCTGCGAATAAGGGATTTAGAAATGAGACTTTAGGACCAAATATTTAAACGAAGTCTAACTTAAGCCGCGGTTAACGAATCTTTGAACCTTCAGATCTCTTCTTTGGTGGGTTGTTTGAAGAAGATAAATGCCTTTCTAGTCTTCTCTATATGCTTTTATAGAACTGTACACAATAAATGTTGTTTAGATAAAATCTTTGGGCAAATTGAAAATGACTTTAAACTACGTTTAAATATTTGGTCCTAAATCTTTAAACTTAGTTTGCCTTGCGATTTTTAATGAGTATGTTTTTTCCGCATTATCATCTTTATAGAGACTAGATTGAAGATGCTATTTCGCAGTCAAAGGGGCTATATCAAGCTTTATGCTATAAGTTTTCAAAAGTTAAAACTTGTCTTCGCACCGAATGAATTCCAAAAATAATGGTCCATATTTGTTAGTTAAAAGCTGTATTTAGGTATTGAAACTGTTTTCTGTTCTATGTTGCAAAGGATGACAAGGACCACACATGGATTGAAACTTGAAAAAACTGGACCAACCCTTTTAAGTTTTAATGGTAGGCGAGTGCAAAAATCACCCAAAAAGTTGTTATGGGTAGCCCAGTAATCCGTGTTAGAATTTGTCTGATAACTCTACAGGAGCATTTTGTGCTTAGGTATTAATGCACTATAAGTAATTACTTAGCCCAGAACTGACATAAAACAGCAATATCCTCGTGGTGGTGGTCGGTCTTCGATAGAATATAACACTCATATTTTCTCTCTTTTTCTAGGTGTATCAGTGGGAACCTTGGACTGCATATATATACTGCTGGGCGTCCACACAGACTGTAGTTTGGCCGTTCCGATAGTTTATTCTGTTTGAAGCTTCGTCTAAAATCCAAATGCTGTAAGGTAAATTTAGAACCCAGTTTGTGGTACTTCACTGATACTTCATATTATACAAATGCCGTGACAGGTAAATTAAGGGCCCAAATCTCCATTAACAGGGTAAGGAATGTCTAAACTCGTTCTGTGAAAGAGAGATTGTTCGAAATTTGAAATATGATGATAACGAAAATGATTTCAGCTACTCCCGTTAGTCATTTTGCTAGAATAACGTATTAGCGTAAATATCTGAGGAGGTTTTACAATGCAAAATACCAGACGTGCTGATGAATACAGCTTATAACTTTGGGGGGTTATGTTTAACGAGGACTAACTAGGGAACTTAATTATGGCGTCGGTCTAACGTTCCCTTGGACTCCTTGACAGAGTAACAAAGGGGTCAGATTGAATTCAGCTTCGTTGGTTAAGTGTCTAAATAAAATTATAATGTCACTCACCGACTAAACTTACTTTGTTCAGTTCATCACCCACATGGTACAGGCCTAGAAAATTAAGGAAAATTGACATGAAAATGAAAGTGAAAGAACAAAATAGAAAAGGGAGTAAATTTCAAGCCTTCGTTGTTTTCTTTTTATCAGAGGGTCAGTTCTGGGGAACCATTCGATCGAGCGAGCTGTTAAAAGTGCATAGCCACATCAAGTTTCCCTTGACCACACCCAAGCCGCCACAGAATAGTGGATGGCAGCAGTAAAACAAGTGAAGAGTGCGTCTCATTATTAACTACAGTGTATTACAAATTCTTTTGAATTTTGATGCCACAGAAAGCTCGCCTGGTCCCAGCAAATGAATAAGATGTAGAAATCATTTACAAAGAGGGCAAGAAGCTCTTTCCACCGAAAGCCAAGGTTACAGAGGAAATTAAAAAAAATTACATAAAAGCTAAGGTTGATTTGTTTATAAACTTGTCTGACCTGGCTGGCCCTTAAAGTAAACAATCTTTTTGATCAATCGAAGTGAGAAATTTTCTTTCATTCACGACATCGAATGTTACTTATCGCACGTTTTACTCATCCACACAAATCCACCACCAACAATGTGGACAGCTTATCACATTACTAGCTTTGACCTTATCATGATCTTGATTGTTGTTTTAACGTCATCGGAAAAAAAAAAAAGGGAAAGTTCAAGGTGAGTGTTACTATAAAAAATCTCGGGTCACAAAGCTGTGTGTGCAAATTAAAAACAAACAGTGTATCCTGATTACTTCTAAAAGTAATAAACTCAACAGCAGGGCAGAGGCAGTTTGGAATCCGTTTGATGTATTAACACCGATTGTCTGCTCTTTTGTTTTTCGTTAATTGAGATCACAGATTCGTGAAATTAATGGCATACTGCGGTTTATATATGAACACGTGTTAAGCTGATTAAGTTCTAATCAATTGTCCTTCTTACTTACTTTTTAAACTGCTGACTGACCTGTTCAAAAACTCTTACTTGAATAACCAGAACAATTAGTAGATAAAACATAAAAAGAAGTGCCGCAAAGTCATGCGAAAAGTTAAAACAAAGGCACTGAGACTCTTAAGATCCAACACATTCGTTTAGAACATCACGTCTCTGCAAGCATTAGATCATATGATTCGTTTGACTACTAAGCTGTAGGGAGCTGGGAGAGGTTTCCTAACGTTATGGGCAAGTGTTAATGAGCTCGAATTTCTGCTTAAAAAGTTGCTAGGCAAAGTACGTACCAATGTTTCAGGGGCAAGTTGATGCACAGTCAAGAAGAACTCTCAGACACGACTCATATTCACTGATGGTTTTTCTTTTGCGTCTAAGAGTTCTTTTTTTAATTCTTTTTTTACTGACAGTTGTATATAAAATAAATCTTTCATGATTTTATTATACAAATTAGTTGGAAAATAAAAAAATACTGGGACTTGAAAAATACTGCATTGCGATGATAAAAAAAAAATCACTTTTATGGGACGTGAAAGAATTTGCCAGTGATCATGTGATCTGAACATCTTCGAGCGCGTGTACTCATCAGATCGGAATACAATACATTTCAGTTCAACTTGACTAAGTTTGACTGGCAGTCATCGGCTATTTTCATTTGACTTTTTTATTAATTGTGTGTATATCGGCACGACAAAAGAAACGTCTTTGTTTTCGTTGTTTCGATTTACATTCAGTAAAAAAACCCACACAAAGACAGTTCCGTCTTGTGGGTCGCCCGAGAAAGAAAAGGTATCAAGGTATCCATCAACTTGGACTACAGCACTACACAGTTAAGATCGATGTTTTGCTGAGATTTAATACAAATTTTCTCTAGTTACTAGTTTATTTTAATGTTGTTTGACCACTACTTTTCTACAAGGTAAATGCTATACTTCAAATTTTATTAGTTTTTTTATTCAGCTGGCACCAGCTCAGGAAAAAAATATACAACTGAGAATTCAGACCGGCTTTGACGGCATTAAAAAAGGGAGAGAACTGCTTTTAATTTTCTCAGCCTAATTCTATGTGAGCAATGTTTTGTTTTGTTTTGTTTTTTCAACAATTTCTTTTCCTTGAAAAATCATTCTATTGTCGGCGACCTTGTCTTTTTATTTCCTACTGATGCTATCAAGCTCCTAAATTGCACGACTGACGTGCGCGCTTGACCACTCGACCACTGCCTGCTTCACAGTTAATGGTATATCATTGCGGACTACCGGGCTCTAACCCTAATTCCCCTCTAAGAAGTTTTTTTAATCAATTTAAAATTTGTTTTGTCTTGTGTTTTTTTCCTTTTCTTTTTTTATTAATTTACCTATTTATTAATTTATTGTAATTCTTCTAATAATATTATATGCAAAGGGACTTCTCTGAAAGAGACTAAATTTCATTTTTGTGAAGTGGGGGCTGGTAGGATTCGATGGGTGGTTCCTGAAAGATATCATATATCATATAATATCACACCAGATGGTTATATTAGTTTGATTAGTGAGATTAGCTCCCATGGCCTTTCGTGAATCTGGTCTGGCCATCAGAAGGTCACTATAACCTCTACTTCTGTTGGGAAAAATCTATTATTTTATTTTATTTATTTATTTATTTTTTTGGAGTGTGGGGGGAAAGTCACTTTATCTTACACATCATGAAGGTAAGTGTCGCTTGAACCCTCTTTCACACCAGCCATACGATGTATTCTTGCTCCGCCCATCCTCAGCCCAGTGGTTAAGCGTCTGACTCCGCGTAGAAGATCTCTGGGGTCGAGACTGGGACTCAATCCTTCGATACCGATGATTGGAGTAATTCACCAGAAAATGTTACGGTTCTGGAACTTAAAAGCCGCGAAAAGCGAATTGGAACCTCGCACCCTTTTGTTAACAAATGTTAAGCTACATGTACTTTCATAAGGAAAATTAGATGACCACAGCCAGAATAAAGGCCCTATTACGCAACGATGAGCAATTCTCCTTGCACCTTTGTAGTGTCTCGCAACGTTCTCATTGCAGTGCACGAGTGCTGCAACGCAAACGTCAAGCGGCAGCCGATTCATTACAGTTGGCGTTACACTAGCTGGACACTAGGTAACGTCTCCTTTGAAACAGATTTTCAAGGTAATTTGCAACCTAAAAATTGCCTAGGTTTATAGCTAGGTCCTTAAACGGAAAAGGAAAATTGGGGCTGACACACGAAAATCAACTCACTCACTCACTCATCCTTCTTCTCCCGGCTAGGACATAAGGCCGCAATTAAATTTCGCCACCCTACTCTGTCCTGAGCTGTGGCCTGCACTTTGCCCCATGTTAGACCCAACTCCCCCAGCTCTTTCGTCATTGTTCTCCGCCAGGTGGTTTTTGGCCAGCCTCTTTTCCTCTTCCCAGTTGGGGTCCATCTCAAGACGATATTGGGTATCCTGTCACTGGGCATCCTTGGGACATGACCAGGCCATCGCAGCCTGTGGCTCATACCTTCCGTATTCTTATACAGTTCTTCATTAGTGATCTTGTTGTGCCAGTAGATATTGCAGATCATCGACCTTTCTCATATCTCCTTTCGTTACTCTCCAGTACTCAGAGCCATACACAAGGATAGCCTTACCAACGCTGTAATAAGGCCTGATCGTAGTTTTGAGGCTATATTGCTTAGCTATAGACTTTTTGATGTTGCGAGTAGAATGAAAACACACATGGCAGTGTTAAGGCGGGCCGTGATGTCTTTATGGGCACCATTGTCACTACTAATAAGGCTTCCGAGACAAGTGAAATCGTTCTTCTCCACTGATGATGATCGGGGGTGCTGTAGGGTCATTGACATACATCACTTGGGTCTTTTTAAGACCTGATATACAGTTTGCTTTGCAAAATTGCTTAGTTGGTTTAATTTTTCCTGGAGATTGTTAGGAGTGGCCGACAAGACTGCCAGATCATCGGCAAAGTCATTGTCTTCCAAATGTGAGAACAACGTCCACTGGATTCCACGAGGGAGGTGTAAGGTTGTTTTACGCATCACCCAGTCAGCGGCTACTGGTAAAAAAAGATTGAGTACAACCCTGTCGTGCTCCAGACTTCAGAGATGACACTGCGTTCGAAGTGTTTATTAAACTTCCTTATGATGGTAACAATGTTAGGTGGTGGTCCGTATGCCCTCACGATCTTGCAAAGACTGTAACGGTAAGCATTTTTGAATGCAAGTGTGGCGCAGTGGTGAGAGCACTCGCCTCCCAACGATGTGGCCCGGGTTCAAATCCTGGCGTCGACGCCATATGTGGGTTGAGTTTGTTGTTGGTTCTCTCCCTTGCTCCGAGAGGTTTTTGTCCGGTTTTCCCCTTTCCTCAAAAACCAACACTTCCAAATTCCAATTCGATCTGGAACGCACGGACACGTTTAAACGAGTTCATATGAACTCTTAAGTGCTTTGTGGGTAAAAAAGCAATTTACATTTTTTTTTTACAAAGTCCGTGAAGTTGATAAAGAGTTATGTTTGAATATGTAGATTTTCTTCATTTTGATTTCAGAGGAATTTGAGGCATTATTAGTAATAGTAATAGGACAGAGTGGAGCCCGATTACCCCTGAATTGTATGACACGAAGTCCTATTACTGATTAATTGTGTCAATAACATAATACGAGAATCTCAGTCTTGGAGTATTTATCAATGTAAATAAAAGTCATTAGACCAGTTAGTTTCATCAGTTTTTCTTTTCCAATTGAAGCTGGACACTATTTTTTCATTGATGTTGATTGGTTATCATGTGCCATGTGGTCAAATTTCATTGGCTAGTGGCATTTGCTACTTGATTTTCATTGGTTCTTTCATTGTCCGATTTGACCTGTCTGATTACAAGCTCCTGGTAGTCGGACAGGTCGAATCGGACAGTTTTGGAGTTACAAAAGCAAAATTAAGCTATAAATATGGACTGTTAGGAACCAATCAGATTCAAGCATTTTGTTATTGGCATAATTATTAAGGACTAAGAGTACAGTGTAACAACGATAGTTGTTTGTCTCGTTTTTACCGGCCTATTTAATCAAACAGACTAGCTTGAAAGACCCTTATTGGATGAGCCTTTACAAAGGCTTAGAATATCTCGTCTACCTCGAATCTCTCGGAGTGGTGCATGGCGATCACTGCGAGATCCGAGAATCGCTCCACTGTTGACCTAGAACAGGCCTCGATTCATTTCATCAGTGAAAAAAATCGCTCATGATCAGCTGCTGCGCTTGTGATCGGTGTGGGGTGCAGGTAATGACCAAAAGGCGATAGATTTTAGGGAAAGCATCTTCATCGGAAAAAAAAAAACACCTGGTGCTAATAGAAGGTTGTTTGGAAGCTCCCTTTCTGTTGATTGCCAGAGTGTTTTTCACCTACGTACCTCATTTCCAATGGATTTGAGAAATGGAATGTCTTTCTCCCAGAACAGCATGCCTTTTAATTCATCCCATCCAGCTGCGGTGCCTCATTTACCGTAATCGATGGCAGGAGACAAAGCAGATGGCGGGCGTAGCGATCTTCGTCAGCAAATCGATCTTGCATTTGGATAATCGAAGAGTTATGAAGAGGAATAACTAGTGTCTTCTTGTAATGATCGATTGGGCTGGAACTTATATTATAACTTATAGTATTATTTTCGGTATGAAAAAGGGATATACACGGGTAACCAGACAAGTTTGAAAACTTCCCAAGGGGGGGGGGGGGGGGCAACCCCCCCCCCCCGGGATCTCTGGAAAGGTACTGCTTTACTAATTTAAAAACGGAGGGATATATGGGGTTCTCTTATGGTATAAGTTTTAAAAACTAAAGAAGGTTCACATTTCCCTTTTTTTCAGTTGAAACGGCTGTTGTACAGGAAGAGAAAATTCTAGGTTTTTTGTTTAAATGTTGGTGGGGTTGAAATTTATTTTTAAACTTTGAGTTTTTTTTGCGATAAGAAAAAGGGATAAAGAGGGGAAACCAAAAAAGTTTGAAAACTCCCCAGGGGGGGGGGGGGGGTGCAACCCCTCCCTCCCTGGATCTCTGGAAAGGTACTGCTTTACTAATTTGAAAACGGATGGATATATGAGGTTCTCTTATGGTATAAGTTTTGAAAACTCAAGAAGGTTCACATTTACCTTTGTTTCAGCTGAAACGGATGTTGTACATGAGTATTGTGTTGCGGTTTGCGTGTAGAATGCGGAAACAAAGATAGACAAGATAATTGCGTTAATATTGTTGTCACAACGGAAATAATCCACCCCTAAGCTGTAACACTCAACGAAGCGGGCGCTCGTGTTCGTAATTCAGTGTCTGAGTTTACCATCCAACGATGTTTTTGCAAGGAAATCCCTGCGTCATGCACGTTCCAGATCTCCCTGGGAGGAAGCAAGAAGAACAATTCATGGTTTCAGGTGGGATTATGATGTGTATTTAGCCGAAGATAGAGTCTTTATGTTACTTCGCCATTTTCCGCCATTTAAGCGGAATTTAGCAATTTTCAGTCCAATTTGGCATTTCATTTGTAAACTACGTCTGGATCACTGTCTTTTCATGCTCTGACAAGGAGAACAAGAAATGAGAACTTGCGCATAAGAGATCAAAACGTTAAGCAACATAAAAAAGCTTCGTTTAATTGGGTCTGACCATCAGTTCGATCGATCAATTACTGATTCGGCTTCACGGGTTTCATAAGCTGTGTCCTGTCAAGTCTAAACATAAAATCTATTATTTCTTCCTAATAATACAAGTACTAATAATTGAGAAACTAATCAACTGACTTAGTAATATGCCATTATTTGACAAGGCACAATTTAGAACGGCGGCAGGGCCAAATTTACAAAACATATTAAGTAAACGGCATGCAAGCTCGTTGCGTAGCTCAAGAGAAGCTCGCTTAGCAGACTCTCCCTTCTTCTACAATTAAACGTTAAAACACAAGCTATTATTTAAGTTATCCTCTTTTGTATGGAAATCCGTGCGCTTTTGAAATTATTTACTTATTTAATTTCTTCTTTATTATAAATGAATTAATGTATGTTTTTATGTATTTAGTTATTCATTTCGTAAATTGTTGTTGCACAAAGTTGTAAATATGGATCGGCCGGTTAGGCTGTCTATGTTATCAAAAATAGTTAGCCTTTTTTTTAAGTTGAGTTAACGTATTCCAAGTCGAAGATTATCAATAAAAGCTTTCCCGGGCGAGCGTGACTGCGTTGTCATGGTAAGAGCATCGCAGTATCATTCAAACCTAATACGTCATCAGCAGCTCAACGCAGCAGCTACTGACTTTTTCGAACCCTATTCAAACAAATAATTCAGCAACTTGCAGAGGTTTTGGGTGTTTTGGGCCAGTCGCGGTTTACCTCTTGATCTCGTATATGTTGACATATCTGATTGAAATTCTTTGCACCTTGCATTTCGTCAAGCTCGACTAGATATATATAGAGGAAGAAGTATGTTGACTCTACAAAGTAAGTTCGAACAGAAAAGTGATAAAACAGACACGGTTTTCAATTATAGGTATTGAAGATCTGTTACATGTTAACCGCCCATTGGTGCCATTAATTGAGGAACAAAACAGTATGCCACACCCAAGCGATAAGGCAGCTATTTTCCTGCCCAGATAAAAATTCAAATAAAATAAATGCATTTTGAAGCACATGGACATTACAACAATGGTTTTTGGCACACATTAATTGAATCTTTTAATGCACAGACAAACGTTTGTGAAGAGGTATGAATATCTATTGTCACGGTGCATAGGGAGAATGTCTAGCGTGCTCATGCAGCTAAATAAAAATACAAATCTTGACGTCATGTTTAATTGATCACACACTTTTTGAGATCAAGAATAGCTATGGATGGCCCAAGGTTCTTGCTAATTTGTTAAACAAGTCATAGTCAAGAACATTACAGAATGTAAATTTAAACTGTTTCGAGTCTGAAGACTTCCGTCTCATTCGACACGTCAAAAAGTGCATGACTTTTATTTCTCTGAGCAGAAAAGGAAGTTCATTGTTCATGGTCAGCGCAAACGCCCGTTTTAAGCTAGGATCACGATCTGAAGAACTTAAAGTAGCCTGCGTAGCAGGCGCTCGGAAGTAGTGGGCGAAAGAGAGAACGGGCGAGCGCGACGCAGGCTAAAGAACTGGGAACAATCTGTATTTAAAAAGTTGGACTTTGTCCCAGTTTTCATCGTGACACGTGTAATTTGCCTTCAAATTACGCTTTCTCACGTGATACCACTCAGTGAACAAAATGTGATTGACAATCTTCACGAATAATCTTTGCTTCGTGAGCCATTCGCTCCACTGTTGATTTTTGTCAAAGAAATGCATTGACGACATCGCTCCGTTATTTCCTTGAAGAAAATGCCTAACTATTTCTATTGATCATTGATAAGAAATCTTATATTTCTTGTATAACCGTAGGGGCCAAAAATGTCGCGCAGTTGAGTCTTGTGCCATTTGTATGAAATCGATCCTATACTATTTGATATGAGGTTCGGTCATGTCTTGCCTTTGTGCTGTAATCATTTCAAATGACTGAAAACAGCATTTAGTCTCTTCTGATATTAAGGTTCTTAATATTCAATCGTTGCTTAATTGATCAGATGATTACTTTTGAAAATAAAAAATGAAAAAAAAATTAACAGCTTCTAATCATAAAAAGGTTAAAACGTTAAAAGTTAAATAAAAGCAGTGATTACAAGAGATTTTTCTATTCTTACTTTAATTGAATTGGAAAAATTAGCGTGTTAATAAATTTGCCGGCTTGTGAGGTTGTCTCGAAAAGAACAAAAGGCTTTAGAGGAATTTGTTTGCTATCCCGGAATAGTTTTAGCCTTGTCTCTTGGGTGTCAATTAACGGCAAGGACACGCAAGGAAATTCAGTGGAATGAACTCGTCATCTATGCCTCCTGCTTTAAAAAAACAAACAAACAAAATGTAACTAGAAAAACTCTTTTCTTTTGAGATAGACCAAGGAGTCCAGTACAAGCAAGATTGATTTAAGGGCGATACGTTTAATCCAACAGGCTTAAGGCAACGGATGTAAACCGCAACCGAGGATTAAATGACATGACATATGTATTGACAATGTCATGCGTTAATGTAGAGGGGGTTATTAACTAAAGAGGTAATCGATACGGGAAACAGCATTCCTGGAGATTTTAAAAGGTCGTGCCGGCGTAGCTTTTTTGTCTTTTTATTTCAGGTGACAACCAGTTTCAATTTTTTTTCGTCCCTTTCTCAGGTGACTCATCCTGGTGACCGGTGAGATCAATTCGCGAACAATCCATACGGCGAAATTCGACTAGCTAAAAATGAGGGAAACACCTATGCAAAGTGCAGATAAATGCTTGTTGCCACTCCGACGAAAGATATCACCTGCTACAATTTTGAACCTTGAAAATCACACCACAGAAAACAGCGAGGGAAATGGGGAAATCAAGGAAGTTGTGGGCAAAAGAGAACGCTTGTTTTCCGCGTCTTCGAGAAGCGTCTCCAGCGTTTCCAGCTCGAAATACAACTCAAGTCTGGCCCCTCCATTCACACCACCGGTCAACAACTGTGAAACACAAGGAAATGTTGCCCATGGTTTTCACTGGAGACGACCTTCAGAACATTTCCTTGAGGTTTTAGAGGCAGAAAACAAAGTGGACAAGACGCAACTTAAAACGTCACCATCACATTCGTTACCACCATTACGGAAGACAAGTCAACGCGAGGATTTACCTAAAGCTTTGCTAGGAGAAACTAAAATTGCATTTGAGGGAAGTGTTTGTAAAGGAGGATATTTTCGCCCGGCTGAATCGTCGGACGGTCAATTACTTCTTCTGTCTGGGTCGAAAAAAGAATTTATAACTCCAGTCTCCACTAACGGAAAGATTCTTCGGAAAACGAACTCTCTGCCTTTGATAAGAACATGTTCTGCCCTAACAAACGGATTAACTGAACTCAACATTACGTGTCCTCGATACCGCACAAAATCTGCAATATTTAGGCGGGAAACTACTACCAATGAGACTGAACACACTGAAAACTCTTGTAAAGCCTTCGACGAAAATTTAGAAGACACAAACGATGAGACTTTTGATGATGACTTAGTTGAGCAGGACACCGAGAAATTCAGCATGATTTGTCACTGGTTGAAAGAGTGTGAGAAAGCTAAAGTTACATAACAGACTTCAGGAAATATTTTATACTGTAAATATGAGTGTTTGTGTACCTTCCTCGCATTGCATGTCCTGTGCCGTGTACACACGTGATATGCCGAAATCACCACCGGCCATTTTCGGTATGTTTAGAATCTTCCAAACACGCAAGCTTACGGTAAAAAGTAGACTCCTGATGGTTTTTCTCATTAACTTGACTTAAAATACCTCTTTTGAACCTATTTCACGGCTTATGATCCAAGATATGTTTTGTAACTTGTCATAGGACACATCAAAAGATGTGAGAAAAGGTATGCAAAAAAAGGGCCTATTCACCCAGCAGGTTTATTTTCTCATTTAGTAGACTACAGCCTCGGATTTCTAACGAATGCATCGAAGTAATACTGTCGACTATCAACGTCTATTTTTATTTGGAAGTTAACTTGTGTGTGGTATGACTGTCCAATGGTTGGACTTCATTGATGCGTCTTGCATACCGCAGTTTAGATCCGCCAGCTATAATATCTATAGCTGTATTTTGCGTACGTTTCTCGGCAATCGATGTCCATTAATTAAGATTAATTTTATTGACATATTTATTGACTTTATTTTGTAATTATATTTAGGTAGGTGTTATGGAGAAGATGAAACATATAACATCATGCTCTAGTTTCCTTGTCCGTTCAAAATCTCACTAAATACACGATTTACGCATAGTTCGACTTCTTCACTGTTATCGTACACTAACTTCTTGTTCTGACCATTTCGTTATTTAATTCATTTCATTTCATTTCATTATTTTCGTTAATACAAAAACATACAACACTTGTACATACGGAAACGGCGGGTACTAGCGGTCAATTTTTGCTATTTACTCCGCGGTACAAGTATTCATTTGTTTTGGTTTCGCCGTTAAGGAACTATCTTTCCGACCTCAATCTTTTTACGCGATGGCCGTCTTTGGGTGGTTTTAAAATATTTGCTTTACATTTACACTCTAAAGGAAAAGAGGAGCAGATTTCGATGAGTTCATTTCCAAACAATGTTAACATCTATTGAGTGTGTGTGTGCGTGCCTGTTTATTTTTTTCTGATTAAAGTGTGGCTGATAAGAGTGTCATCCTATTAAGAGATAACGTACAGAATGTTGTAACTTTTTTCATTCGCTTGGCTGAATAAAACAAATCAACCATAACTGATCAAACCAGCTGTGTAACTTGATATGAAAATATGCGATTCGCAATTTTGTGAGTGAAGCCGGAGTATACTTGTTGGGCCGTGAAAGTTGTAGTCCAAGTTTCGAAAGGCCCACGATTTTCACTCAAATCCCGTAACTCCAAGTCCAGTTATGGCTACGATCTGTTGATCAGCAGGTAATGTAAGGACTTTTTACAAGCGTTGGCTTAGCAGTAAAGTCAAGTGTGAACAGTGTCTTTGATGAACAGATAAAAAGGAGGCGGGTGATTCCAGTAAAAGAGCTGCTTAGTAAATGTGTTCTCACTCTGGCCTTCGTGTTCGCTTTAGTTTTGCATTAATTGCGAACTCTCTGAACGTTCACAGACCAAATATTCCCAAAAGGGGGGGGGGGGGGGGGGGGGGGCGCCCAGAGTTGTGTGGGGCCCCCCCCCCCCAGGTTTTGGGGGGGCGGAAAAAAAAAAAAAAAGGCAGGGACCAGTTTTGTAAAACACACAGGGTTGGGGGAGAGAAATCAAAGTTTTTACCCAAAGGGGCGACAGTTAAAATGGATAGATGAAAGGCGGAGTTTTTTATTCGCATGGTGTATCTGTGCTGTTATTTGCTTGTGTCTGTTGTTTTTCGTCTTTGCTTGTGCATGGTTTTTAACGTGTGCGCACCGGAAGACATCACAGGGGACCGGCTGGAGGGGGGGGTGGGCGGCGTGGACTGCCACGATGTGTCTGTGCGCACATCTCTCAGGATTTCAGGTGACCGAAACATAAGATACGATGGCATAGTCAATTGTTGTAAACGCCACTGGTATTGAGAGAGTATCATAACTGTTTAGCCAAGATGGGACCAGTTTAGAAAAATCCGAAAGGAATTGACAAAAGTTATTAAAGGACGAGAAACTAAACGCAAAGGTGGCTTAAAACTGCTTCATACAATGTATACAGTTATGAAATATCCAGGCAAATGTGGACACTAAGGGACATGATTTCCTCCACGATACGTGGAACGAGGGGTTCGAAATTAACAGCAGAGGAATGCATATCCGCAGCAAAAGAGTTTCTTAGATAAAGACACCGGCATTTCCGAAAAGCAAACCAGGGGAGCGATCTAACAAGTTATCAACCGGAAAAAGTTTCTCAAACGAGTATTTTCACCCCAAAGTCGACAACAGCTTTATTTGGACTGTAGTTATGTGGACAAGATACTTTGGCCTGACCAGTTCCATAAAAACTAAAGCTCTTCGGCTGTACTTACGCTTAGTACATTTTTAAAATTTTGCAGTTGCTGAGTTATAATAACTAAGCGATTTCTCTAGCGCTGCTTGAGCGTCATTTTCTCTAGTCGACTAGAGTATAGACCATGTAGACCATCATGGAAAATTTTTGTCGATTTGTTAAGTGGCCACAGTTTAAAGTAAAAGTTAAAAAAAGGCGAATTGACTTTTACGTGATTGTGTTTGCGCACGCTTGTTTAGACTCGGCCACTGAAGAAAACAAGATCCAAGAAATATTAACAATTTCACTGATAAGTCATTGTTTTACCATCTGTGCTGTTGGAATAAAATTGTGCATAATGAGGTATTCCCAAGCCTGCTTCATGTAGCAATGTGTTTTGCGAGTAAGAGGAACACAAAACTCAAACAGTCCTTTAATTCCGCTTAATTTTATGAAGGGGAAAAACAGTTTGCATTGTTACCATTTAAGATGTTGCATTGGGTGATTACCATAATTTGTTTCTAAAGCAGTGATACTACCAGTCAAGCACTATATAATAAGACGTTTGGCAACATTATGATACATCTCCCCAAGCTCACTGAAAGAGAACGACCCTGTTGCGTGATAAAGCCGCTTTCAGCAGTGACCTGTATCGGTGAAGATATCCGGATGAAAGGAAATGAGTTATTGAACCATGGCCTTAGATTAGGGTTTGAAAAGACTGAACCAAGATTGGGTTTAAGCCGGAGAGTATCTGTGACAGGTTTCTTACAATGCCTAAGCTAAAGGCATAATCACAGTCCCACTTCATATGCAGTTTTTTTCGTACATATAGATGTCCGTCGTTAACACCTGCTTGCTCAGCTTAGATTCATACCTTATCAGGCCAGGGAGCACCTGTTACGTATACTTTAAACGTGCGAGTTATTTTAGCGGTGCAAATCCCCTCTTTATGTGTCTATGTATGAGATGGAGTGTAAAGAAAAAAAAATGTTCTGGATTTAATATATCAAAGTCAACCTCACCGAGTGGGAAAAAAAAAAAAATGCCCAAATAGCTTTCAATGAAAATATCTACCGGAAGGAAATACTTGAAATAGCGGTTTCTGGTATGGATTAAGTAAACTATAAAAGCCACCCGTGTGGTTATGATTACTGGCTAATAATTGTTGGCTAAGACAACATTTTTCAACCCGCATAACAGTCCTTGGAGAGAGTCCCTGGTGGATTGCAGAAGGAGGGGAGGATAGCAACAATAGATGTACTAGCATCCATATTCGTTGATGTAATCAGAAGAAAAAGGCTCCCGGACAATCCAAATAAGCCATGCATGTCCGAGTTCCAAAAACTCCCTTTCAAAACGTGGCCAAGTGAAAAACCTTTCTAGTGAAAATGAGTTTTTTTGCGTTGCACCTTGGCTCGCGTTGAAACAGCGACTTGGGGTAACTTGCAAATGGCCTATTTTCACGTTATAAAGTACTAAATGTTACCTTTGCCAAAATATTCACACCAAATCAAAACAAAAGTAATCCTCGGCCCATGTGACAAATGATTTATATGGTAAACAACTTCATAATACAAATGGCTAACCAAATGGCTTTGCAACAAGCGAATGATTAAGAAAATAATGGGAGAAAATCCGGTTAAATCTGCGGGAGGAACATAACACGAACAGATTGGCCGATGGCAGATTAACGTCTTTAATGCATTATTTTTGTTAGTTGGAGGAGCGAAGTAAACCGTCTGTTAACAAAGAATAACTTCAAGTAATGAAAGGTGGTGTTGTGGGCGTTGTAGAGCTACATGGTTATAGAAAGGTTATACTTACATTTCAGTCAGTAATATATAAGGTTGTATTCAAATCTTCATTTTTTTTTTCGTTTCGTGCCTTCTGGAAAAAGGTTACGTTCATATGCTTAACTACTAAGAAATACGGATGTTGCTTAGAATTACTGGAAATGTATAAAAAATTGGACAGTTATTTGGCTTTAAGTGTTTAACGTGGAACAAACCTGCACAATCTTTCATTTCATACTCATAGGCTGACACGAAAACTGTTTATTGTTGCCATTTTCAATTGGTTGTTTTATATTCAAATAACTAATATATGGTATATATTTGCAAAATAATAACTCGAAATATCCAGTTGCATTTTGAATTCAGTACCTTGGGGTAATATTGAATCAACACTGCAATATTTATAAAACTCCATGTTGTCAAGTTTATCATTTTAGTTATTTACTATTCCGAAAAGGAGCGGAACCGATATAGTGTTGAGTTAGCTAGTAGGATTAGTAGACATGGCCAACGTAGTTTTCAAGCTTCGAGCCTTTTGGAGATCGATTTCAACATCAGAACGATTTTCAGCAGACTTAATTTTGTCTGATTTTCATTCTCTGACTTTGATCTTTGCTGATTTTTGTTCTGATTCTTCTGGGTTCAGATTTTTTTTTTACTAATATTAAATCTATAACCCACTACCGTTTTTTAACACTTTCCCTTTCACTGACTGACCACTCATTCTGAGATGCAGTTAATTCCACTATAGAAAATTTATTCTTGACGTGACTCGATCCGTAAGGCGAGGGAGTCACATTTGATAGATAAGGCCATGGCTCTTGAACCTTATGGCCTAAACCGCCGTGACGAATGATTGTAATCCATATCCTTATTAGTTTTTCTTTTCTGTTTTATGTTGTTCGTCAGTTCCGCCTCTCCCTTTTAAACAATTTTTATTGCTATGTTCTCCATCTATATAATATTTTTATTTTCATCATAAATTCAGTAACATCTGTAAACTTGAAGAAGGCTGGTATGGCCAGCCAAAATATTGTTATGAAAAAAGATAAATATTAACCGTCAAGAAGTTTCAGGGTATCTCGAATCTCGCTATTTCAGCTGATTTCACAGGACTTCTGGATGATGAAGAATCTCTAAACCGGGAAAAACAGTTCCCATGTTCTCAAAAGCATCTCTCTAGACATTACAAGACCTTAAAAGTTGCTCCTTTCTAAAAATATTTCGGAATTTCATAAGAGAGAGGCCAGGACAAACTCCAAAACACACAGAAATCATTTTTTTTCTTATTAGATCTTGGACTAAATTTCCACTAAATAATCGTCAACCGTCAAAATTGGAAAAAAAAATTACCGTCAACCGTCAAACCTATTATCCCATTGAGCCCTCAATTTTGGCCGTGGGGAAATTTTAATCTGGAATTCTTGGCTTCGTTCGGTGGACTTTCCATATTGCGACTGTTTAGCATTGTCCTCTCTTTAGAAGTGGAAACTCGGGGGAGGGGCGCAGAGGGCAAAATAACCACACGGAAGCAAGAAAAAGCAAGTAAAGAAGGTAAAGTGTAGCGAGTATTTGTCTTCTTCAATCTATTTCCTGAATTTTCGTACAAATTCTTCATGCTTACGGCCTTTTTAGGATTACGTTATACGATAATACACCGTCACGTATTTAATACCCTTTCGTACTGAGCTTGGGCTGCCTGTGGCGTAAGCGGTTCATAAAAAGCATTTTTTTTAGCAAATTAATATAGGTTTCTTCAGGGTCTCTTTTTAAATCGTTTAGCTACTCGCTCCCCAGATGTCTGCGCTCAAAATGTATAGGATGAGGTATAAAATAGCATTCATCATTTGCATGCAATGCTGAAACCAGGACAGGAGGTAATAAAAACGCTTACTATTCAATCGCGTTCAAAGCTCTTTAGTAACCGGCAACAGGCTTTTGGTTTCAAGTTGATATTTTATCCATACGCTTTTAATTACAGTAAATGCTTTGAAAGTTTACCAGAAAAGTTCTAAGTGTTTTTTAAAAAGTGAACTCGGATGCGAATATGGTTTTCAGGTTCAAACAGGGTATGACTACATTTTCACTGTGTAGCGTTTTGAACAGCGTGTCTTTTTGGTTCAGAAGCCTCTAAAAGAGGTTTGCTAATGTTTCACGTTTCAAGTTGGTACAGACAATGTTGTTCCAAAAAAACTAATTCCACGATATTAACCTGGGTCATGAAAGAAAGTCTCTTGATT